ATATACATGGTCAGTCTTTTCGCCCAATTAACATTTATATGATGGTATATTGTGTAATACTATTTACGCAGATGTGACTACAAAATACTGTCGAATGACTTACTAATAAATAATTAGTTTTATGTCAGTTACTGTAAAGTTGTGATTATAAATAGTCACATTTATGTATATGTTTAGTCATTTCATATAACATATTCTTCGAGCTGCCCTTTACTTCTGTTTTGTTTTTGCTTTTTTGTAGATACATATCATCATTAAATGGCAGATCCATTTTTGTAACTGAGCATATTCTGTGCATATCCCATCTGTAATCAACAGATCTCTTATTTTATCTTGACTGACCAATTACTATTTGAGTCACCCATTACTTTACAACGCATATAAATTTCTCAATAAGTCATGAATATGTCAACTTCTACTAAAAGTAACTTTTTAAACTTGGATAACTAACTGAATGAGATATAACTTACTTTGAATTAGATTAAAATATATTGACAAATATTTCCAGGTATTAGAGCTTTAAACAAATAATATGTAATTTGTTGCAATAATTGTGATTGTTTAACATTTCTTGGTACAAGTTCTATGCAGAAAAATGGTTTCATCTTTCTAATAAGTGTAAGGATGGTTTGAAGATTAGCAGGACGTGGATTGGTAACTCATGTGATCAGGGTTGCTAATTTACACTTGTTGCTCATAATTTATTTTTTATTTTTAATGATTGTTGTGAACGAAGCTCATAATTATTAGATCCCCACTGTAAATTAAGGTATTACTATTATACTGTTGTCAATGCTATCTGTCAGTGTCAGTTGAATAGGACGTTATTAATGAACTCGAAATCCACATTTTTTTTAAATTTTGTGAAACAACAAAGAAAAATCGAGTATATGTGTATCACATCAATAAAACGATTCTAAACTCTTAATTCATTAGAACAAAATGAAAAAGTAAACAAAGTAGCTTACCACACATGATGCTTAACCACTTTCTGACCCACTTTACCTTGTCACAGCGAAGCGAAAAATATAATAAAAACTTGATCAACGCTGCTATTTAAATATTACACGTATAGGTAGGTGCTGGGAAACCTTCACTAAAAACGCTACAGGCATATAGGCAGGTACTTGTCATACTTGCTGCACCAGTTAGAACTTTTGTACAATCTAATGCACGCAAAACAGCATTAATGTCGACGTATACAGCCACTAGGCGTAGTAGGCCTACTATTGGTAACCTGTAACTTATTAAGAGACAGTGTTGCTAATATTTACGTTTGTCAGTGCCATCTACGTTAAAGGAACATCAAATGACTGTAAGAAAGCTAAGTTCAAGTGGTAATGATAATGTGGTTTACACTAGAATTATGATTTCTTTTAATTACAAGCTAAGTTATAGAAGCAGATACTCCGTCTGAAACTAGGTCAGTGAATTTGGTTGACACTACTGTTTTTTTTTTTTTAGTTATCATGTGATGAAAAAGAAGAAAAAAGAAGAACAAGAAATTCAAACTTTTTTGAGGAGATATTTCAAATACCATTTCAACAAACAATCTGAGCCATCCCTACATAGGTAGTGCTTCCGCCTACCTGATATAATTGTGTTTTGAAAAAAAGATTTGTCCAACAGTAATGAATGAAAATAGTTTTTAATGGACTAACATAATTACTAAAGTACTAACTGGTATATTTTATTATCTGAAATTATGGTTCTTAATTATCTTGGAGACTCGCTAATGAAGGGATGATTACAACCAATGAATATGCAAAGACGTATTATTAGACAAGCTGCTTCAAAAGTCGAATAATTCATGCAAAGAAATACTCTGTTTATTTATTTATTGAGATCAAATGCACTTGAGTTGCTGAACTCCCAACTATGACACCTGCAAATATGTTATCTTTATTTTGTTATAAAAAATTATTAAAAGATTGACTAAAATCGCTAAAAATATAGAAAATAATAATCATCAAAATTTCATTTTATTGCCCTGCCCTTCAGGCGGAATATTAATGTTATGTTGGTTTCTGCCCCCAACACGAAGGTTTACATTATTTGAGTTAGCAAACCAAAGTGTGGCAGGAATCTCATTTATATATTGCAACCTTTCTTCATGGCCCAAAATCATCAAAAAGATGTAAAATTCTCAATAATATTGCCAAATATTCGTAAGAACATAATGCATTCTTACAAAATGTTCGTAGGTAAAATGAAAATGCAGACATCTTCAGTCCTGCCAGAAGTCACATTCCAGACATGAGTGTCAGCAATAGGGGTGATCTAGTACGAAGGAAGCCACAGGAATTCGATGGAAAGGCACTATGGGAAGCATATAGAGCACAATTGGAGCTCCTTGGAGAAATAAATGGATGGACAGAGGAGCAGAAAGCAGTATACCTTCAGAGCCTGAAGGGACAACCACTGGAAATACTTGGACAGTTGTTAGCAGACGACAGGCACAACTATAGGGACTGGTAGCTGCTCTAGAAATCAGGTATGGAACTCAAAATCAGTCCAAAATCTACAGGGCTAGGTTTAGGACTAGAGTCCATGCTAAAGGGGAGAGCCTGCAAGAGCTGGCACAGGATTTGGAAAGTATGGCACACAAGGCCTACCCAACTGCACCACCCAATGTTCTCAAGCTGTTGCTGAGGGATCAGTTTGTAGACGCCTTGGACAGTCCACAACCGAAGATACAACTAAAGCAAGCTGTTTGAGGGACTTTGCTGGCACTGTAACAAACCTGGGCACAAGAGAGCTCAATGCTGGCAACTTCAACACAGGGAAGATGCCACGACAGGAAAGGCTGCTACCCAGAAAGGTTGTTGGAACTGTGGAGAACAAGGACGTATGAAGAGTCAGTATAAGAAGAATACTACCAATAAGTCAGCTTCGGGGAAACCAGTAGTGGTTGGGGTTGAGGGACGCCCACCAACTCCCACAGTGAAAGTCCCAACAGCTAAGTGTAAAATGCCAATCACACATAGTGTCTACGTGACAGGAAAGCTGGATGGCCAAAAGTGCAACTTTGTCATAGATTCTGCATCTCAGCAAACCCTTGTGAGTATCAAGGTGCTAGATCACAAAGGAGTACCAGAAGCCATACAGAAGCTCTGTGGTGTGACAGGACATTATGCAAAGTTGTGGGGACCAGTGTGGGTAACTATTGAGCTCATGGGCATAAAGGACAGACACGAAGTATACTTGGCTGACATTGAAGACCCATGCATATTAGGGTTGAACTAATTACAACTGAGGAAGTGTGTAGTTAACCTTGATAAAATGACGTTTGGGAACAACAAAGGCCAAATTCCGGTAACTGTTAAAAGAGAGGTTGGACTAACCAGGTGCCATCAAGCTGAAGTCAAAGTGACTGAAGGAGTTGATGATGGTGAAGTGGAACCAAGTATAGATATTAAAGCAGAACAGGAGAAAGACCAAGATTTGAAGTCAATAATTGATTTTCTACAAGCAAGTGTTTTGCACCCTGTTTGAGAGAAGGTGTGTAGCTCAAACCCTGCAACAAAGAAAATTTTGGCACAATGGGACCAGTTGAAGCTTGAAGATGGTATTCTTGTCTGGAGATGGGAAAGTGACAAACTGGCAAACAGTTATACCGAGAAAGTTACGGGAAGTTGTGCTGCGTCAATCCCATGATACTGTAACAGGAGAACATCTCGGAGTTAAGAAGACATTGAGTCACCTACGGCAGAGATTTTACTGGATAGATATGAGGCAAGATGTGGAAGAATGGTGTAGGATCTGCAGTATATGTTGTGTTAAAAGGGGACCCAAGCATAAGGGACGTGCTCCAATGAAGTTATATCAAGTTGGCGCACCAATGGAAAGAGTAGCCATTGACATTGCTGGTCCATTGCCCCAAACAAGTGCTGGAAACAGGTACATTTGTGTGGTGATGGATTATTTCACCAAGTGGCCTGAGGAATATGCAATACCAAATCAGGAAGCTAGAACTGTAGCTTCGGCTATTAGTGATTTCTTCTTCAGGTTTGGTATACCATACGAACTGCATTCA